TAAGTAAATTAAAAAAAAAAAAATCTACTGAACATCTAAACCTTTCCCACTGATTTTGTCCCTTAACATTTCAGAGCTTCAGGAGAATTACAGATTAATCAGAAGAGAGTAAGCCTCACATTTCTACTCAACTTCACACGTACCATAATTATGATTTAATTAGCAAAACATCCATAAATGCAAAGATCCACAGAAAAGGAGCAGATACACTAGATTTAGGTGCTTTTGCTTGGCTTGTCAGTCACCGGACTGACAGCTGCTGGTGACCCTCCACACAGAGGCTTGTCATAGCGGAGTGAACGGTCCACCTCCAGCTTTGTTATGAGTCTTAAAGTTTTGGGGTTTATATCTTACATATTTGGGGTTTATATCCTCATCCCAGAAGATCTTACATCAACAACCTAATTGCTTCCACTTATGGACATTTTTATCAGCATGAAATTATCCAAGTTTTCTTTTTTATTTTTTAGAAACCCGATTATCAGCAAGTCTACAGGACAGTACCCTGATATTCACAAATTATATCATTGCCTTCACCTTCCGAGTATCTCAAAAAACAAAACTGCTGTCCCACGGTCATGCACTAAATATTTAGGTGAGCAGGAGGTTGTTTTGGCCTTCAGATCTGTGTCACTGAGCTTTCGATCTATCCCTATGACAGTACTACCAGGGATCACTGAGGCTTTTAAAATATGTTTCAATACCTGACAGAGCAAATCCCTTCACATTATTCTCTTTTTTCAAAATTCATTGGCTCTTCGTGTTTGCATAATTTTCCAGTTAAGCTTTAAAATTACTTTGTCAAGTTCTCCCCAAAATGTGGCAGACACGGAGGTGCATCCCCCCAGCTGCCTTTCAAGGACGGGCTTGTCGCCCATCTGTGAGGACTGCATAGACACCTTCCAACTGGCAATTCCTCTGGGGTCTCACACTTCCAGAGGCCACCTCCATTGGGTAACTGGGAGAAGTGCTACTTGTCAAAAGTTCAGAAACAGCCAAAGTGAAACCCATGAAGCACCGAAGTAGCAATTAGTGAAATTTTATTGTGCACACACTGAAAAGACAGTTTGCAAAAGAGGAATATTCAAGCCAAAACGTGGAATGAGGCTTGGGGCTATTTTGTTATAAAGCAGTCTGCATAGTGAGGAATCAGTGACTGTTTATTCTTCACAGCGATTGGTTATAATAATTAGAATTTTCTTAAATGATAGGAATGGGTCAGAGGTTACCTCATACCAGCCTTGAAAAGCAGTTTAAGTTTCGCTTTTGATTTTCAGAGGCATCAGCAAGAAATGGTCCAGGTCACATTAGTATTGGAAAATATGCTAATTTAAGCTTTGTTTGTGAGACCACACTGGTTTTTCTGCTCAGGGAATTTTCAAGGTTGGTCCCTATTTGTTTTTATTTTAACAATTCTCCCCTTTTGGCAGGCTGAGAATATGACCAACCAGAACAGCATTAATCGTTATTCTCGGTTAGCACCATGGATGTAGCCAGGCTGAAGAGTCACATATTTGCTGTTTCCATTCGTTGAGTCATCAGGCCGGAGGGCCATGTAGTCATCGTCTTCATCATTTATGTGGTTATTGTTGATTTCACCCAGTTGTTCAATCCTGATGGATACCATTTGTTGGGTGAGTGGCTGCCGACAGGCATTTAAAGCCCCCAAGAGTATAAAACATACCAGAGAGGTTAATCTGATGACTATAAGATCAACAGCCAAGGATTGAAAAATTCCCCAGAGCAGAGACTCCCAGGAACCAAGACTTAAACAATCAAATAACTCAAATGAATTATGATTTTTAAATGTTATTTACACTGGCACAACATGATGTATTAGCAATCATATATCCCCACGATTACTTGGGACAGAATGAGTGTGAGGATATTTTATTTCAAAGAGTGGTATTTAGATGCACTTCCACCTAGATTAGGCCTCAATACAATGTGAGCAATCAGGTACTTTAATGAGATGCATCTCTATGGAAACAAAAGAAAAACAAAAAATAGTTTGAACAAATTAAAAGTTCTGTTTGAGTTTGGACAGCAACCGGTTGAGAAAACTTCTAGATGTCAGAAAATTTCACAGCATCTTCAGATGGAGCGAGGGCAGACAGTGACCATTGGACAGATTTCCCTAGTTTGCAGTATAAATGTCTCTGGTGATCTTACTAAGTGGCCACATAGCAACAGGCATGAAGATTGGAAGATTGTCCACACACAAGCTGTTGTGCTGATTTCTCTAAAGTTTTTTTATCAGGCTGTCTAGCTCTACCTTGCTTGACTTCAGGAAAATGACAGTTTTAGTTTTATAGTAATTCCAAGTCAAAAGAGTGGGAGAAAATTGCAAATTTTAGTTTGGAGAGTTCTAGGCAAATATTAGAGGAAATCCTAAGAATTTAGGATTCAGTCCAGTTTACAGGTAGAAAACAAAACCTCAGAGACAATTAATAACCCTAGAATCTGATATCCACAAAGGAGTATTACTGAAACATAATTTTTCTTCTCTTTATAATCATCCCCATTTCTATCAAAGATAACCATAGTAACACTGATCTGTTTGCAAATTAAGTCTAGTTTCAATAAACTTGGCCTGAGTATTTACATACATACAACAAGAATAGTGATTGATCATGTAGGTACTTTTTTTTTTTTTTGATCATGTAGGTACTTTTAAATCTGCTTTGCTGGAACTTTTCATAAGGACTCTCAGATGCGACTTTCAAAAGCCTCTTGAGGCTAAGAATCCAAGCCAAGGACTTGTCCAATTGTGTCTTGTTATAAGGAAAACAGATTCTTATCAAATTATGCAAATACATATATTGTCATGAAAAATAAGAATATTTAATAAGGGTTTCTGAATTCTGGAAGGATCAGGTAGGGAGAAAAAGAGAAATACTTTAACTTTGGTTACAAAGATACATTACAAAATTACAGGAAGTTATAGATCACTTAAAAGAGTGATCACAACCAAAAAGGCTGTACTTTAAATCTGGAAAGAAAAGCACTGAAGAACCAGCAATATTTTAAATGAAGTCATAAAAATTGTAATATTTTCATCAGTTCATTCATCTTATGTAGTTAATTCTTGTTTTGCTTCATCTTCAGTTAACAGCTTTATAAATCCATCAGTTTTCCATTAGAGTTTTAGAAATTCTTACCCAGTTCATTGTTATGATCTTAAAGTTCTCAGAATCTTCTATTTTACAGTACTTGTCAGGCTCTCTTCCATGAATCTCTTTGAAGATGAAGCATTTTATCTGGAGCACGTTTGCAAAAACATCAGAGTAAAACAATAACCGTAAATGACAAAAGACATACACATAGCCACGGTTAAGGATCTTGTGAGAGTTTACACACACACACACACACACACACACACACACACATACACAGGGTGCAATTGACCAATATTTTTATGACACACATTTTTAAATTATGACTGATAACATTATAACTAGAACACATCAGATTTTTAGGAATTTTATATAATTTATGAATTACTTACTTTAATGATATATATCCCATATATACAATCTAAGAAGATTCAACATTACTTTTTTTATCTTCTTTGTATAGGATTGGCAGACTTCTTTTTAAAGTCTTTCCTGGTTTTCTTGTGTCTGTTTATATTATTGGTTTCTTTATTATGAATAGGACTTCTTCATTTTATTTTTTATTTGATCCCTAATGTTATAAATTAATTTATAGATAACATTATATATGTTATAAAACATTTTTAAATGTAACTTTACTGAATTCACTTACAAAGTATGCTCATTTAAAACGTTGCCTACGGGGTGCCTGGGTGGCTCAGTCAGTCAAGTATCTGCATTCGGCTCAGGTCATGATCCCGGGATCCTGGGATTGAGCCTCATATCAGGCTCCCTGCTCAGTGGAGAGTTGGCTTCTGCCCCTCCCCCCATTTGTGATCTCTCTCAAATAAATAAATAAAATCCTTAAAAAAATAAAATCAAACATTGCCTACATTTTTCCTATCAAGCTTCCTCTTTTCCTTCATCATAATTTCTACCTGGCTTAATGAAATTGTAACTATGATATATCAAAAAGATTTCATTCCAGTTTTCCACATTTAAGAATCATCTCCATAATAATAGCATCCACTGAGTGCCTCTAATGCATCAGGCAATGATGCATGAATGGTCTGGTGATATTACATACAATACTAACAGCCACCCTCCAAGGTTACATTATAACCTATGCTTTTTTTTTTCCTAAAGATTCTATTTATTTATTTGAGAGAGAGAATGAGATAGAGAGAGCAAGCATGAGAGGGGGGAGGGTCAGAGGGAGAAGCAGACTCCCTGCTGAGCAGGGACCCCGATGCGGGACTCGATCCCTGGACTCCAGGATCATGACCTGAGCCGAAGGCAGTCGCCTAACCAACTGAGCCACACAGGCGCCCCATAACCTATGCTTTTTAATAACGCATGTAACTCACCCATTAACTGTTGCCAGCAAGTTATTGAACCAGGAGTCAAACCAGGGATGATTTTATCATCAAATAAAAAAATCTAAAGTCTCTTTAGGCAACATAACTAAACTAAGCCTTCCTGAGTTTGCTTTTACTTTGTCATATATAAATATTTAATAAGTATATACTACATATATATTTAATTTTAATAATATATTTCAATTTCACTACACATACACATATATAAACTCCATGAGTAATTTCTGAAAGCATATTCTTTATACAGCATTCAAACAAAAAGCATAGGGACTGAAAAATTTAATTTCACCTTCACCTTCCTCCCAACCAAATGCCTGCTCTTCTCCAGCAGTAACTCCTATAAACAATTCTCCATATATCCTCAAAAGCCTTTTTTATTAATTTATATATTCACATGGACACACACACACACACACACACACATGAATTTGCATATATACATACTAAATTATATATAAATTTATTTATTGTACTTGTTATTCAACTGAATTTATACTTTATACATTATTTTGTAACTTGCCTTTCTTAACAATGTCTTTAAGTCTTTCCATGTCCTACAGGAAATCAACTTTATTCTCTTAAGCTCTTCGGGACCACCTTACCAGCACTCAAGCCTCCTGAAAGGCCAGAGACAACTTAGGCAAGTGTTTGATGAAAACCGGAGCTCCAAAAACAAGTAGAGAATAGAGGCAAATTATTTGGAAGACAAATCTTTGACATGTACATACACACATATCTGCATGTATATATATATATATATATATATATATATATATATATATCTCAACTATTTCCATCTTACATTAATTTGGTTCACTGGAAAATTAATGAATTCTTACCATATTTTTGTCCCCCAAAACATTCTATCTTGGATATTGCATTATTTAGAACTAAAATGTGGCCATATGTACTATAAATCCAAAATCACAAGCGCTTGTATAAGATCGATTTTTATTCTTCTACCCTTAATAACACAATCTGAATTGCACACATCCCTTTCTGTTCATATCTCATTGGTCTCAAAATCCAGTCCACATGGTCACATCTAGCTTCAAGAGGGTTGGGGAAATTTAATATGGGCCATCGTGAACCCAGCTACATTTCATTTTCCTGAGGAGTAAAGGCAGAACTAGTAGACTATCAAGGCTGTGCTCAATAACTTCACGATTCAGCTTCGAAAAACACCCATGTGACCACTTTTACAGAGAAGTTTCTTACTTTTCTTCTCCTTGATCTAATCCCTTTTTAAAAATTTCTTAAAATGTAATTGAAAATGCTAGTAACCCAAAATGAGAAACCTAGTTTTATCAAGTTTCTTTACCTTTCTTTATCTATTATGAGGTGGATCAATATCTTCATTAGAATGCTCATAAGTTACTCATAGAATCATCTGTCCTAACAAATATGTATTGAGCAATACGTTCTTATGTCAGTTCTAAAAACACACGACAAATAAAGTAACAAATAAGTTCCCAGTGTGCCGTGCATGTATCTGTATTATATAATTTCATTCGAATCATCTGAATTGATAAATATTAGTGAAGAAATAGAAGCCAGGTTATCTACAGTATTTCTATCCTGAAAAAAAGAATTGTGTATTTCTGACTTAATTTAACATTTTGTTATAGCAGGCAAAATGTAAGGTCTTTACAAGAGTGAAATAAAACAGAAAGGAAGATTAATATTCCAACAATCTTATAGCCAAGAAATTGTTCACATAATTTATTTGAATAATACATCAGATAGACTGAAATATGTTACACACCAAAATTAATGTGCTTTAAAAGTTAAAGAACAAATTTGACTTGAAAGAATAATATGAGACTAAAATAGAATGAAAAATGAATTTGAAAATGAATTTCAAGAATTCAGGACAGCCTATCATGTTGATTTTACACATTCAAGCCCAGTTATTAGAGGGGAGGCATTTTTTTTAATATGAGTTCAGCTCATCAGTGTGTATTGAGGGTATATATTGATGACAGGTCACAAGGGAAGATCCTTGGGAACTGACTTTATGGGATAACAAAGATGACTTAAGCTCCTGCAAATTTTTCCAATAGGGAATTGTTTTTTTTTAGTTCTGGATCATAAGCAACATACTCTGTCAGATGACATTTGTTCTTAGGCTCTTTGCACCTAAGAGGACACTGACAAATTTATATACATGTTTCTCTCACTTGGCCTCATGCAGCATGATGTGAGTTTCTTCAAGTAGATGCATTTTCTGACACTAGCATTTACTTTCTTGGAAAAGAACATTCAGACAGTAAAGCATATGTCTTTCTGGGTTAAAAATAAAACCTCCCAAGGAATACCCCAACCAGATTATGCTACATGTAATAATTTGCACAATATGCACGTCTGCCTCAATTCCCTACTGCCCATCTGCATATTGCATCTACTGACCCAGTAAGCACAGCATTCCATAGAACCATGATGTGTAGGAGTCCAGCAAGGTTCAAAGCAAGGACAAAGTAAACGTGTTCACATTTACTACAGAGTGATAGGTGTGGGGGTGAGGAGCGCTGACAGCCCTGAGAGGCCACACATCCCCATTTGAACCAGATCTTACTTCCAAAACAGAAAAAAGGCCAAGAAACACAAACGACCAAGGAACCTTCTCATGGCTGTTCTGACTCATGTTATTCCTCTGTGGTCGCCAACTCTATGACACTAAAAAGGCTGATACAGAAGAAAAGGAACAAATGGGGCAACCCATGTCTCCTTTTCTTATCAGCTCTTCCTGCCCGTTAGAATGCCACAGGTAGAGAGCTTTGGTAGAATACTCACATATGAAGAAGTGAAATAAAAAGTTGAGTTAATATTGGGCAGTGTTTCTACTCTTCTGGTAAGAATGAAATACATAAGCACACAGGTTATGATATATGAATTGCAGTGATTTCATTCATTCTGCATATGAGCCAAATGCTTCTGTATCTGCATTTAAGACTGACGAGGTATGACATGAAAATGAATAAAATTCATATTAAAAATTTTTTTAAATTTAGTTTTTCTTTGCTCAGAACACATGAAATAATAAAAATAACAACAACAAAAACAAAAAACACCCACCATGACGGGTTGTGAGAGAGACTGCAGAAAAAAGGGAGAGAGAGCTTTATATTTTAGTGACTTTAATGGAAAATTTCCCACTTTTTGAACAAGTGGCCTCATGCCTCGTATTTTCACTTTGCTTTGTGCTCCACAATTTATGTCACTCCTGTGTGAGCCCCAGTGTATGTGCCCCTCAACAGCTCTACAATATGACGTAGACTGTTGCCCTTTTTATGTCACTTCCACATCTGATTCTCTGTACTTCCAAAATGTTTGAGGCACCGGGTCTCCTTTAATAAATTCTTTATCTGTTTAATCTAGATGGATTGGGTTCCATATTTTTGCAGATAAGAATAGCAACAATAGCTAAAATGCATAGATTCTTACTTTATGGCCAGCACATAGTCACATAATAATAAGATAAACACTATCATCTATATTATACAGATGAGAAAATCCAGGGTTAAAAATCAAATAAGTTGTCTGAGTTTCACCAGCTAATATATCCAGGGCCAGGATTTCAACTCAAGTTGTCTGATTCCAGCCCTGTGTGGAGCCACATTTATATTACCATTTGTCCTCTTAAAGATTGTTGATCCCCATGGCAAGAATTTGACTAAGTCTTAAATAGGCACTGTGCCACCTAAACAAATAGCCATTGTTAGGAGCCAAGACAGTAAATGTTTGAATCAAGTCTTATTGCTGAACTCATAATTCAAAGGGACGATCCAATAAACTGTCTCTTCTGAGAACCACGTTGGTGGTGATTAAGAGTGTTCAATGGCTTTTATGTCTCTGGGATTCACTGTCTCTGGATTTTATTTCCCTCGATTTTACATGATTTGACCAGCATATGATTACTGATTAGGAAAGACAGACAATGGGAGGAATTTGGATGGCTTTAAATATAATTACCCACCTCCTTTTCTGTGTTAATCAGAGGTGTTAAAATAGCTTTCTCAGCAAGTTGTTTTCATGCTGCTGGCTGTTACCGTGGCTCTTACTGACGTTCACGCAGACACCCTGGCAGAGTACAAAATCATGTCATTACAACCAATTCTTGGAAGTTTATGCACCAGTAAATGAGGGGCAAAAAATGTTGAGATTGCTGATATTTGGAAGCTTACACAGTATCTACCTGTAGGAAGTTTACTATTCCACGAATCCCTCATTCTGGGAAAATGAAATCACTCTAACTTCGGACACATGTCATTTCAGTCTTTGGATGCTTCTCATTTTTGCTGATACAAGGGAACACAAGCATGGTGTTTTTAAAAAGGTATGCAACGTACTGTAAAAAAAAAAAATAACATGTAATGTGGGCTAAGCTGTGCAAGTTAAAACACTACAAACCACAAAGGTGAGGATCATAGGACAAATATTTCTTTACCAGCAATGGGTGGGATGGTGTCTTTATGATTTATTCTAAAATAACAAAACAATCTGAAACAATGAAGTGTTTCTCTGGGCCTCATGAATATATATGAATTCAGTTCATGACAGAACAAGTCATTGGCTGTCTCTGCCAAACAGCCAAAAGGGGATGATTGATTGTTTTATGCACAACCTCGCACACTCTGAAGGCACTGGAAAACTGTGATGAAAGGCAAAACAGTGCCAAAAATGAACGTAACTCTTCAATAGTATCACAATATTTATACTGATGACCAGAAGTATTTGAGAACTCAGAATCGCAAACTTCCCAAACTCACTACAGATACCCGTACAAACTGTTTCTATCGCTTCTTTAAACAAAACTCGTACTGCCTTGAAAGTGCGCTAGAAAATAGACTTGTTTAGGTTTAGTTGCTGACTTTTTACATACTGCTGGGTTCATGTTTTCATGAGAATTTTTTTTAACCCTAAGTTAATAGGTGGTTTATTTTATTTACAGTTGAATAAGGAAAATGTCCCTTCCTGAAGTGTAAATTGCCTAATTTTTGATTTACTAGAACCCAAAACTATATCTTCATATAATTAAGTAATCATCTATTTCTGCAAACTCATTTTTCAAATTTATGGGTGCTTGAAATTATTTTTGGGAAAAGGGATTGCATATAGTCGCCTTTATCAATAATTACATTGTCTTAATTTAGATTCCCCCAAATGCAGATCCCAAGACGTGGAATTAGATTTATTTGAAGGACAACCACCGGAAGCAGAAGAAACAGGAAGAGGGAGGACAAGGAGAGGCCAGGCCAGGCTTGTGTTCCCGAGACCGCTGCTGTCGGAAACGGAGACTCCATATTGCCGGGACCTCAGAGCCGGACAGAAGGCCCCCTCTTCCATTGGAAGGACAGGTGCTGAGTGTTGATCCCTTAGCTACAGTTCTCCATTCAGTTGAGGGTTCCTGCTGGGACGTTAAAACCTTTTCGCTGTTGCGCTGCAGAGGTACAAGTTGAGAAAGCTCCCACGGCTTCAAAAAAAGCTCCAAGACAGAAAAGTAGAGACCTTCCTGGCTAGGGGTGCCAGTAAAATACAAGATGCCCAGTTACATTAGGACTTCAGATAAAAAATAGTAAATACTTTTTCATTATATGTATTACATGAGACATAGTCACACTAAAAAATTATTCATTATTTATCTGGGCAAACTTTCTTCTTTTCTTCTTCTTCTTCTGTTCCTTTTCTTTTCTTTTCTTCCTCCTCTCTCTCCTTCTTGATTTTCTAAATCTGGTAACTCTTCTCCTGGCACATGCCCGAGGTAGGATGCTGTCGTCCCGAGTCTGAGATTGTCCAGAATCGTCCACCACTGCCACAGTTAAAATCAGAGGTGGGCCAAGGGCAAGAGGAAGCAGGGCACCCAAGCATCTGCTACATGTATTATTTTAGATGCCTAAATCTACCTCACTTTATCAGACAGAACACCACATATCCCATCCTTACGTATCTTCATTTTTCAGATCACACTTCCACTGCTACTAGGGCTCCTCTTAAAGTCCTCATAAATAATCTTTGATTTGTTTCTAAGCACAGCACCAGTGTTGCCTAACCAAAATTATACAACCTGTTACTTATCTTTTGAATCCTCCTCAAGTCTTTTTAGGCTTGCTCATGACATCTTCTTGTCACAGTGTCATCCCAGATGCCCCATGTGCTGCGGTACGTGCTAGTCCATGCCTTCTAAGGAGCAGATGCCAAGGCAGAACTAAATATGCAAGAGATAAATCTGAGGCAACAACACCTGTGAGGGGAATCTGGAGAGGGACAGGGGAAGGGGGTGCCCGTTAGACCCTAATGCTTGTCCCACCTCAGGTGAATGAGAGAGGCAAAGCAAAAGGATGGGAGGGAGAGGCTTGGAGTGCAGTATAGTGGTAAGAGATTTTGGCAGGGCCTCGTGAAGTCATCCTTCAGAGGGGTCCTGCAGCCCACAGAACAGAGCTTCCCATTTGTGACCCTGCCAACTCACTCACTGCCCAGGAATGACTCCTGGGAAGCATGGCCTCGGTGCAGACGGGGATGGACAGAGGGGCACAGAGCTGGCGCCCTGGCTCAGCTGGGCTCCCTGCAACCGCAAACACAGCAGGCTCGCTTTCACAAGCCAGGGCGACACCCCAGCTTTCCCCAGAAGGGGTACAAAGCACACACCTGCTGAACATATACTCATTAACTGACTGACTACCCTGTATAGAGATAATTTTGAAAAACACTTAAGGCTCATACGTATGAAACTGAAGTAACCGTGCTATCGGATTTGTAGGCATGTTTTGGGGTAGAGAAATTATGTAGCATTTAAAAAAAAAAATCACAGCCACTTAGACATCGGCCTCTTTCATCTGCTCCTTCGAGGTGTCTACTCCTTTTAAGTAATAGACACCGCAAGTTGTGGACTGATGGTTCTAAATCCACCCACTGTCCCTGCCATGTCATCTCTGGCTGCCCGACCAGTCTCTCTAAAAGTTAGTGGTTTGAAACAATAATAAGCGTCTATTACATCTCAAGTTTCTGTTGGCCATGAACTCAGGGCTTTTGTGGGCAGTTTTCACTCAGAGTCTTTCCTTCCGTTGTAGTCAGCTGTCGCCTGGTCCTGCAGGCCTCTGAAGGCGGGGTTGGGACTGGCGGATACATTTTCGAGGGGACTCACTCATGAGACTGGCAAATTCGTCCCGGCGGTTGGCTGAGGGCCGCGGTTCTCTGCACGGGGCGGTTGAAGTTTCCTCACAGTGCAGCTCTAGGGACCTCCAGCGCAAGTGCTTTAAGAGATGAAAGGAAAGCTGCACATGACTTACACGACTTAGCTTCGGAAGGCACACGTCCTCATTTCCACCACATCCTGCTGCTCACACACAGCTAACACACAAGGGTATGAACACTGGGAGACAAGGATCACCGCGGGCCATCTCGGAGCTCATGTGTACATTAAAATCTCCTGCAGAATATTTGCATCCAGAAGAAATTATATTACAATAAGAGTGCTCAGAGTACTGAAGAATACAGACCGACGACATCTTTCACCAGAGTTAAACTAAGATTCGGTTTTCCACTTGTATACACAGCCAAATGCAATCTTATTTCCGTGTTCTACCCTTCTAGGAAGGTCTAAAGCAAGGATGTTAAGTGGGTAGCTCATAAGCAGAGTTCACCCCAAAGTCATATAATGTGCATATAATGACTATGCAATTAAATGCCTTCAAAGGAGCACTGGTTCTCTCCACTCCGACACCACTCCTTACAATCTTAAATCCTTTAAGTTAGATATTATCCGCCTGATCCCTAAAGGCATTGCAATCCCTGCCTAAGAAGGGGGAAATTATAAGCATAGAAAAGGCTGGGGGTGGGCAGCAGGGGGAACAGAGGGACAAAGTATTCCTGAAGCAAGATGAGTTGGCTGTCCTCCTTCCGGGTAGAGGAAATTATAAGAACAAATAAAATCTTGGCAGTGTCTTGAAAGATTGAACACAGGCAAAAGAGCAGTGGTCTTGAGAGTGAAGCCCGTTAAACACTAAAGTAAGGAAATGGAAACTCCTTCTCAGGAGGTCTTTAGAAATAAGAAAGATTCTAATCTGCCTGGAAGAATTCAGGTGTGGTTTTTCTTAGGGGTAAATGGGTTGGTTTATATAACTCACAAAGTTTCTTCTGTGATTTTTTTGACCTCTTTCTATGACATTTTAAGAAGTTAGCACCCGCTCCCCTCACCCTCCCCACACACAGAGGCCCCTAAGGTGCAAAGTACAACATGACTACCATGAAGTTCAACAATTCTCTATTCTGGGAAGTGGGAGACCACCCAGGCGAGCAATGATAGGCTACTGCCTAAAATCTACATATTTGGCTTGCTGTAAATTGTCATCTTATTCTTCCATTTGTAGAATAATTGTCAGAGTCTGATCATTAGTATTATTCACAGAATGTTTCTATTGTTTTGTATCTTTTCTCCCTAAAAGTATTCCCTATGCAAAAATATTCTGATTTTTAGAATACCCAATAATATATACATATTTTTTAAGCTCAACACTTCTAAGTAAGGAAAAAAGAGCTGTAATGTATGCTTTATCCAAGCCTCATCATTTTCAATGTGTGTGTTCTCATGTGAAGAAATCCAATGCTTCTAACATATTCTTCAAATGTTATGTTTTCTTTTCTAAACAAACAATGTGATGATCAATTTCAACCTTATGCCCAGGCTTCTATACAAGTATGTTTCCCATTAAACTTCATCATAACTTTTCAAAATATGTTTCTCAAACAAATCAAGATTCTTTTATCCCTGCATAGCTAAATAGTCTTGATTTAATTTGAGAAAAATTTCCCATATCAGAGGTCAACAGACCTTGTAGATGTGTGAGTGCCACTATGAAAAATGTCAATGCACTAAGGGAAAGATAGACTATACATCTCCTTCTATATTCAAAATCTAAAAACTCCTTAATTCCTATTCTCTTGTGTGATGCTACAACTTTCAATGTGTTCACTAAGTGAGGCTTTTTCTTCTGGCTTTATTGAGGTATAATTGATAAATACAATCATAAGATACTTAAAGTACACATCGTAATGATTCAACATACATGTGTATTTTGAAAGGA